TTTCACATCTTTACTGCTCAGGACTCCGTCTTCGCCCTTCGTCTTGATCTGCAGCTTCTCTTTTCCCTTCTGTTCTACCTCCTCCTCCTCCTCCTCCTCCTCTTGCTCATCAGTCTTTTTTTCTACCTCCATTTTCTCCTCCAGTTTTTACCTGCAACTGCTCACTGTCTCCTCACCCGCCGCCACCTCCTTCTCATCCTACTCCTTAACTTCCCTTCTCATCCTGCTCCTTAACTTCCCTTCTCATCCTGCTCCTTAACTTCCCTTCTCATCCTGCTCCTTAACTTCCCTTCTCATCCTGCTCCTTAACTTCCCTTCTCATCCTACTCCTTAACTTCTTTCTCCACTCGATCTTTTGTAACTCCTCCTCCTCCTGTTCGTACCACAACACACACTTTCACTCTGTGTGTCTGTTTGACCCTCCTCTCTCCTCTCTCTCTCTCTCTCTCTCTCTCTCTCTCTCTCTCTCTCTCTCTCTCTCTCTCTCTCTCTCTCTCTCTCTCTCTCTCTCTCTCTCTCTCTCTCACACTCCCGCATCCTTCTCACATATATTTGTAAGGCAGGCACAGGAAATCTAAACGCAGATGAGAAAGAGAACTGCTCTGTCCCCCACCCGAATATCCCTCCCCCCGACTGCCCCTCTGACTGGGATAGAGGAGGGGGGGGGGACATCCCAGTCGCCGGCGAATCAGGAGACAAAACACTGACGAAGGAATCGAAGACGATGAGTCTGCAGAGATCGAGGTTTTTGTGGAAGACTTCGTTGTAAAGAAGCGGGGAGGCGGGCGGTTGAAGTCTCTAAGGGAGAGGGGGATAGTGGATGAAAGAGAGGGAATAGGGGAAGAGGGAGAGGGAGAGGGGAGACCTTCCAAAAGAGAAAGACAGAATAAGTGTACATACATTGTTGAAGTCTGGCAATGTTGTTGGAAGGGATGGGTAATTATCAGGTGAAAGCACCCCTAACCCACCACGACTATACTATATCCTTATCCTGACTTGGAAGAGGTCAGGATAAGGATTTAGGACAGGACGGAGGGAGGAAAGGAATGGTGCCCAACCACTTGGACGGTCGGGGATTGAACGCCGACTTTCATGAAGCGAGACCGTTGCTCTGCCGTCCAGCCCAAGTGATTGGACACAGTGTTGTTAAAGTCTGCCACTGTTGGAGTCTAATATATTGATCTCTATTGATAAAATGAGTCTACTGTACTGATAAATTTCGTCTCGTAATGTGGTAATTAATGGGCTGCGTATCAACGTGCTTTTTCCTGGTCCCACGAGAGGCCTGTGTGTTTCGTCCCTCCCTGACCAAGCCATCAGTTGCACTTGATCCGAGACTGCAATATTATTACTAAGAAAAACTATATTCGTAAATCATACTTTCCTGGGTGATAGCGATTAAAGTATTTATTTTCATGTATATATTCATACGTATATAGTATTAAGAGATGGATCAATGTACTGTATAGCCTTTATATGTGTGTATACTTGTGTATATATTTGGAGTTATATATATGTACGTATGTAGGTCTCTTCTTGTAGAATGTATACTGCAGATTCCTTTGGTTACAATATGGATCGTATTGGTGGTAGGTGCCAGAGTGCCGATTTAATTTTAGATACGGCACAATCGGTATCCTTCCTGGTAAATATTTACATCAGGAAGGCCCAGAACATTTCCCCTCTCCTTGTCTCTCTCTCTCTCTCATTCTCACACTCGTTCTCATTGTCTCTCACTATCTCTCACTCATTATTTTGTTTCCATTCTTTCTCTGTGAACGTATGTGCTCGTCGCCTCACTCCACTGTATTTACCAGGTAAATACAGTGGAGTGAGTTCTATAGTGGGAGAACTAATCGATGGTAAATCCCATCGATTAGTTCATCTAGTTAAGTTAATCTTTAAGTTTCGTGTCACAACAGCTGTTAGATCTGACGTCCGCGTCCCATCCCGTTTGTGAGTGCTTTCTCTGCTTCCCTCTCATGCTGCTGTGCACCTGGACCACCTTTCCTATCTTCCCATTCTCATGACCGTACATTTGCAGGGACTGAACTCCAGTAGCCATGTGTGTGTATCTAGACCTGCAGCTGGTTGACTTCCTTCGTCTGTGGTGTTCGTTCCTGCACGGTCTTCACCCTTCTCATCGACTCTGTGTCCCTTGCAAGCGTTGATATTGTAAGAACTTGCCTCTTGGTCCCTCTTGGAGGGAGCCGGTCGGCCGAGCGGACAGCACGCTGAACTTGTGATCCTGGGTTCGATCCCAGGCGCCGGCGAGAAACAATTGGCAGAGTTTCTTTCACCCTATGCCCCTGTTACCTAGCAGTAAATAGGTACCTGGGTGTTAGTCAGCTGTCACGGGCTGCTTCCTGGGGGGTGGAGGCCTGGTCGAGGACCGGGCCGCGGGGACACTAAAGCCCCGAAATCATCTCAAGATTGGTGTAGATTGTTTCTGTTGATAAGAGCATGGGACCCAGGAGTGAGTCTCGTGGGACCTAACTTTTTAAATAAATCCGTTTTGATATTGCCTCCCACTACGACTTTCCGTTTCCCATCTCTAAGTTACTCCTTCGTGTAGTCACGTGCCACTGTATATTCAAGCCTGCTTCTCCAATTATAAGAAACAGTATCAACACAACTTAGGCATCTAGGAAGATGTAGTTTATCGATGCTTCCACTCTTGTTTTGGCGACCCCTGTCGTCGAACACTCTCAAGGTTGCCATGGATGACTCGGACTGTCTGAGTAGCCTCCTGTGTGGTACTGTATCAACGGCTTTTTGGCAGTCCAGAAATATGCAGTCTGCCCGGCCTTCTCTGTCTTGCCTTATTTTCATTTCGTACTGTGTGAGCGTGTTGTCTCCTCCCCCTGCCCTCTGCCCCCCCCAACTCTTTGCCTGCTCCTGGTATTTCTACTTTGCTCTTTGTTAATTAAAATTCGCCCTGAAATGAGGAATGCCTTATAAATTTAATTAAAAGCTTTATTAGCCTTGTGTGAAACCCCTGGCTTGTAACACCCCTGGCTTGTAACACCCCTGGCTTGTAACACCCCTGGCTTGTAACACCCCTGGCTTGCAACACCCCTGGCTTGTAACACCCCTGGCTTGCAACACCCCTGGCTTGTAACACCCCTGGCTTGTAACACCCCTGGCTTGCAACACCCCTGGCTTGCAACACCCCTGGCTTGTAACACCCCTGGCTTGCAACACCCCTGGCTTGCAACACCCCTGGCTTGTAACACCCCTGGCTTGCAACACCCCTGGCTTGCAACACCCCTGGCTTGTAACACCCCTGGCTTGCAACACCCCTGGCTTGCAACACCCCTGGCTTGTAACACCCCTGGCTTGTAACACCCCTGGCTTGCAACACCCCTGGCTTGTAACACCCCTGGCTTGCAACACCCCTGGCTTGCAACACCCCTGGCTTGTAACACCCCTGGCTTGCAACACCCCTGGCTTGCAACACCCCTGGCTTGTAACACCCCTGGCTTGCAACACCCCTGGCTTGCAACACCCCTGGCTTGTAACACCCCTGGCTTGTAACACCCCTGGCTTGCAACACCCCTGGCTTGTAACACCCCTGGCTTGCAACACCCCTGGATTGTAACACCCCTGGCTTGCAACACCCCTGGCTTGCAACACCCCTGGCTTGTAACACCCCTGGCTTGCAACACCCCTGGCTTGCAACACCCCTGGCTTGTAACACCCCTGGCCTGTAACACCCCTGGCTTGTAACACCCCTGGCTTGCAACACCAATGGCTTACTGGTACACTGGCTTACAATGGAACTGGCTTACCATCATGGCTTAAAATCCCACTGACTTACAATTATGGCTTACAATACAAGAGAATTCCGCAAAATAGTAATCACCGTGAATGTTTGACCAGTCCTTCAATATGCAGCCGCAACTTGCGACTCATTCCTGGTAAAGCAAAATAATATTTAGTAGAAAGTTGCTGTTGTTTTAGATTTAGCTACACAGAACGAAGTGTCCATGTAGCACGGGCTATGGTGAGCCCGTAATAGTAGAAATTTGCCATGTAATAGGTACCGGAGCCATGATGACTGTCTACAAAATACATGTAAGGACATTAAAGACGCAAGTACAAGAGGCCTTATTATGAGAACGTGCAAAATATTGAGAAACTAGATATAGTTTCTTGCAGGTGAAGGGCACCAGAACGAGAAGTTACAGGAGCAAGTTGGCGACACACACGAGCCAGATTAATGTATGGAAACGCCGGCATGCAGTGAGAGTGGTAAACATGTGAAGGGATCTTGCTTCCACCAGAGGTGGTGGAAGCCACCTCCAATCACAGCTTCAAGAGCTGTGAATAGCAGTATCGCTATTTTAAGAGAGGGAAGGAATAAATGCACCAGGTACTATAGCTGTGAGCCGGGGCTCCAGAGCTAGAGCTTCCTGTTGACACTAGTTAGGTGAACACACACACGCACATATACGCGATAATTTATATAGTAATATATAATATAGAACAAAAATATGCTTGCTACTTCTTGGTGTAAACACAAACGCAAGTCACGTAATATACTGTTAGCAAGAACATGCAGAACTCTTGTGGTATATTCACCATTCAGGACAGATGCTTCCATGAACCTCCATTGGGTGCTAACTTAGAGCTAGCTCTTGATCTATATACTCTTATGTTCTCTCGTATAGAATAAGGTAGCAGTACTTTGGTGTATATACCTAAGTTTGTCAATAAAATGTTAACTGCACCCACCCGTGTGCGCATATCATTAAATATTAAAACGAAATTTACTTCTTAATAAATGCTCCGTGTTCTGTATTGGATTTACAATATTTCATAATAATTAAATTCTGATATTTACATAGTTTTTTTATAGTTTTTTTTCGATAAAAAGGTAACTCTTACTTTTACATTTTCTCTTTTTATGGGATTGATAGAAAACACAAAATTTAAATATGGGTGACTGAATAAAAATACAACAAATGGTTTCAAACTTAATTAATATATTTTAATAAATATTAAGCGGACTTGATTCCACAAATGCCAAAATTCTAATACTTAATAACATTATATATATACTAACAAGGTTTATTTCCTCTTATTATGTACTATTAGGCTGAAAAATATCACCAGGAGTGTGATCCTGTTTAACTTTATTCGTCAAAAAATATACCTAGCAGTCTAAGGGTTAATATGAATCTATGCAAAACATTTCTGCCTCTACTGTGAACTATTGATCACCGAGCTGCTCGGTAATTATTCATCCTTTGGTCCGAGTCTCTCCAGAATTCTGGAGAGCTTTGTCTGACTGTCAAGATCATGGAGGTCTCTCAGCCGCCGGGAGCGGGCGCCGGACGGCTGGAGCCTCATCCACTCCGGCAACACCTCCAATAGTTTGCTTACTTCTTCCTTAAACTCCCGACTGCGAAAGTTATACACCCAGGGGTTCCACGCTGATCTCGACACGAACATCCACTGAGCAAAGTAAGTGAATAGTGTATCGCGTTTAAATTTGAAATGTATATTACGGAAAATGATTTCGATGGCGATTGGAACGCATGAGGCAAGGAAGAGCATAAGAGTGAGTATCAGTGTTATCAATATGCGACGGTTCTCTTCCTTGTAAGGACCGGCCACTGCCATCTTCTCCCACTCTGCCGTCAGCTCCTTCTGTGTCTTCACAAAATTGTGTATCGCTAACACTGAGAAGATAATAATAGAAACTCCTGCAATTACAAGAATTGAATATTGGCAATAGAATAATATTGCATAGATGAAGCTGTTAGGGTAATTGTCCGAGGTCCCAAGTGGGAGCTTGGTGAAGGTAATTACCGAAGCGCCCAGATTTGTGTCGTAATGAGCGGCGAACATGAAGGCGCTGGAGAGGCCTGTGATCCAGGTGAGAGCGATGGCTGTTTGAACCCAGGGCATAGTGAAGTAGTCCCTGTAGAGGAGTGGTCGGCCCGTGAGCACGAACCTCTCCAGGCTCAGCAAGAAGATGGTTAGCACTGACACGGTGGAAGACACGCAGTACATCAGAGACTGAAATAAAAAAAAGCCACTGGTGTAGTCTGCGTAATTATCTATGCGGCGGATGGGATTCTCCGTCGACGGAACAACATCTTCACGATGATGAAAGTCGAGTATCTCGTCTGGATGGAGCACCTCTATAAACTCAGTTGGGTAAAAGAAGGGAACAAGATGATTACAGAGGGATGGGAAGACCACTAACAGTGTGCAGATCAAGTTAGCGAGCGCCAGGGAGGTGCGCATCATGCTCGACTCCTGCCGGTGGTGGCCCCCGCTCCACATCACCACCACCACCACCAGGTTCCCCACCAACCCACTCGCTCCAATGATCGCCACCCAAGTTATCAGGAGTACTTCACCTATCTGGCAAGATGCTGGCAGATAGCTCCAAGCAGCGTTCAAACGATGAACCAAAGGGTCGCCCACCCACGCCACGATGTACATGTCATAACAGCACGGCCAGTGATTGTTGACAATCAGATACAATGTTTTGTTGTGCCTGTTGCCGAAAAAGTGAAGGCTTTCTGCCTGGTAAGAACATAGAGAAGCAGTACTCGATGTTAACGTGTTGAACAGTCGGTAATGTACTCCTTTTACTTCTGAATCAATCACAGTCAATGTTCCTTTGCAAAATTCTTGAAAGCACTGAGTGTCGTTTAGCAGAATAAAGGAAGCAAGAAATTCACCAGAAATGTCTGCTCCTTCTGAGGGTTTGAGACAGTGGTGGGAGTGTAGAAATCCCACTCGAGCTTCCCGACACACGGTGAGAAAGTTCATTTCTTCACATATATCAAATGTTCTAAATAAAGGTAAACAGATCTGAACAAACGTTTCATCATCATATACAGCCAAATAATATTCATATTGAGAATCGTATATTATAACATAATGTGGTTCTGCTTTAATTCCACGAAAGGATTGATATATATTTTTACACATTAGTATCGTGTGTGAAAATTGTATGTGGAATTTCTTGTGCCTTCCGCAGACCACCTCTGCCTGTCCCTGAAAGTTTGAAGAGTAAGTCTGAGGAGGATGATCACAGAGCAGCACGCTCTTTCTAACAAGCGAAGATTTTTGGCTTTCCGTAGTGCTCATTGTTGCCGGAACACTGAGCAGAGTGGAAGCCGTGCCAGCTGCTGTAATGTGGAAGAACGTCGACTCCTGGCCTGTTGGTGCACCAAGCTTCTGAAGAGAAGCTTGCTTGCTACCGTTATACACTGATCTCACTACGCCCTCGTAGTCGAGCCAAGTATTGCCGGTCCATCCATTGGCCGCTGTTCTCGCTAATACATTCGCAAACACACTTTCCGGAGCATCTGTAGCGAAGCCATTGCCGGGAGACGTATCCAAGCTGTGATCATCGCTGGGAGATGTTGCTATTGATGATGGCAGAGACTTGTCACTTCCGGAGACTTGCTGCATACGAGCCTGAGGCGTTTCAGAGATCTCACCAACACTTTGGAATCTCTTGCTTCGCCTCGCTGATCCCGGCTGATCCAGAGAACCGGCTGACTTGAGAAAGCCATCTTTGAGTCCAAGTAACAAGTTGAGGCTGGTGGGCCTCGCCAGCTGGCCCTCGATGCCTGGCCTGTTTAGTTGAGCAGTGGAGTCACTTGTAGTCGTGCACGAGGCTGCCCAGTGACGCCTGCTCCCTGACGCGACACCCTTCTCTTCCTGCACGCTGCACGTAGATTGTCCCACCTCACTGAACCACGGCAAAAGGACCAAGAGCAGCAGCAAGTTTAACACCAGCCACACCAGGAGGTTGGCAGTCATGATGGGTGCCGGCTGCAACACGCACGCTTCCTCCCTGAAATTGATAGAATCATTGGAACACCTTGAAAATTGAAATAGACTATTTATAATTTTACCTATCTCCCTCCCTCCAATATATATATATATATAATATAATATAATATAATATAATATATGCGTGTGGTTATTTTTAGATTGTAGTGAGAGTTAAGGCGAGATAATAATTACAGGATGAAGTAGGAAGCATCCTGTTTATGTAGTCACAGCCTCCCCTCCATCTATCTTACACAAACACGCACACACACATCTTGGCAAGCACAAGACGAAGCTAGATAAAGTTCAGAGGTATGCCACTAGGCTAGTCCCAGAACTAAGAGGCTTGAATTACGAAGAAAGGTTGAGGGAACTGTACATCACGTCGCTGGAAGACAGAACTCGGGGAGACATGATCACCACATACAAAACTCTCAGGGGGGGAATTAACAGGGTAGACAAGGATGGATTATTTAACACGCGTGGTACACGCACAAGGGGACACAGGTGGAAACTGAATACCCAAATGAGCCACAGAGACATTAGAAAGAACTTTCTCAGTGTCAAAGTAGTTAATAAATGGAATGCATTAAGCAGTGATGTGGTGGAGGCTGACTCCATACACAGTTTCAAATGTAGATATGATAGAGCCCAGTAGGCTCAGGAATCTGTACACCAGTTGATTGACGGTTGAGAGGCGGGATCAAAGGGTCAGAGCTCAACCCCCGCAAGACAACTAGGTGAGTACACACACACACACACACACACACACACACACACACACACACACACACACACACACACACACACACACACACACACACACACACACACACACACACAATACAGCCCCCCCCCCTCCTGTCTGACTTTGGTCGCTCGTAGAATTCAAATAAATAATCATGATTTGCTCTGGCAGAATCCGAGCTTTCTCTTCAGCCCGCCTGATCCTAGTAGGCTATCATGCCCATGTTTATTTTCGTATTATCATCTGCTCTCTGATCTCTATTTGTTGTCCATGTCTTCCTACACCTGCTCTTCGGGTACAAAAAAATAATGAATTTTGTCTTTGTTTCGCGTCTGTTTCAATTTTTTTCCACTCGACACCTTCCATTCCTGTTTACTTTCGCTGCATTGCACAATACACTCACGCTGTATAGTGTGTACTCAGGCTACAGTCCACACAGCACAAGACACCGGAGAGTACTGCGAGACATAAGATTTTGTATCCCAGCTTAGTTCCCGGGACTTCCTGAGCGGTGGTGGTGGTTGTGATACTGGTGGTGGTGGTGGGTGTGATGGTGGCTGTGATATTGGTGGTGGTGGTGGTGGTGGTAGTGGTGGTGGCTGTGATAGTGATGGTGGTGGCTGTGGGAGTGGTTGTGATAGTGGTGGTGGTGGTGGGTGTGATGGTGGCTGTGATATTGGTGGTGGTGGTGGTGGTAGTGGTGGTGGCTGTGATAGTGATGGTGGTGGCTGTGGGAGTGGTTGTGATAGTGGTGGTGGTGGTGGGTGTGATGGTGGCTATGATATTGGTGGTGGTGGTGGTGGTGGCGGCTGTGGTGGTGGTTGTGATACTGGTGGTGGTGGCCGTGGTGGCGGCTGTGGAGGTGGTTGTGATACTGGTGGTGGTGGCTGTGGTGGTGGCTGTGGAGGTGGTTGTGATACTGGTGGTGGTGGGGGTGGTGGCTGTGGTGGTGGCTGTGATACTGGTGGTGGTGGCCGTGGTGGTGGCTGTGGAGGTGGTTGTGATACTGGTGGTGGTGGTGGGTGTGATGGTGACTGTGATATTGATGGTGGTGGTGGAGGTGGTGGTGGCTGTGGTGGTGGCCGTGATACTGGTGGTGGTGGCTGTGATACTGGTGGTGGTGGTGGGTGTGATGGTGGCTGTGATACTGGTGGTAGTGGTGGTGGTGGCTGTGGAGGTGGCTGTTATACTGGTGGTGGTGGCTGTGGGAGTGGTTGTGATAGTGGTGGTGGTAATGGTGGCTGTTGTAAAAATTGCTGTGGTGGTGGTGGTTGTGGTGGTGGAGGCTGTGGTGGTGCTGGGTGTGATAGTAGTGTTGATAACGACATCTAAAACGGATGAACAAACAGCTGCCACCTCAGTAGCGACACAACTGCTGATAAGAGCAAGTTCTGCTGGAGGAAGACACACAAACAAACTGAGACAGACAGATAAAGAGGGATATAAAAGGAGCTTGATAAAGACTACGAGATAAAGTTAGAGAGCGATTAAATGTTTCAAAAATATTTTATCTTATACAAGCCTAATTACAATTTTTAAAATCAGTTGCGCACTTAAACTCGTTACTCAAATGAGATGTTTAGGTTGTCTGTTCCTTTGTGTATTTGGTGTGTGGTTTTGTCTTTGAAATGTAAGTGTAAATTCATTTTTATGGTGAGTCTTTGAGCCTCATATGTAGAGTTCTGTTTTGATTCCCGAGTAATGTTTCGTGTACTTCCGTGCATGATGATAGAGGAAGTTCTCAGTGTTCGTTATTGTGCTTTTTATGTTAGCATTTTACAGAGAGACACCCACCCACACACTCACACACTTACATCCACACACACCCACACACACACCTACTGTCCGGTGCCACTGTCCGAACACACACCTACTGTCTGCTGACACTGCCCAGGCTTCCCGACACCATGCATCACGCCACCTGGGAGAAGTGTCACTTCTTCACCTGGGAGTAGGGACACTGCTCCACCTGGGAGTAGGGACACTGCTCCACCTGGGAGTAGGGACACTGCTCCACCTGGAAGAAGACACACTGCTCTCCATGGGAGAAGAAGGATCGCTAACCCATCTCACAGACGGGCGGCCATTGTACCATCACAAGATGACAAGTGGTGATGATTGTGGGAGATGTGTTGACCCTCGCACGACCAGGTCACTACACAAGGGGGAAGCAATTGTGATCGTTTGTCTCTGTTAACCTCCCTTGAGGGTGAGAATGCAATTGGTTATTGTGTGTGTGTCTGTCTGTGTCAAATGTCGCTTTAGGGCAAGAGGATAAACGGCTATCGCAATTACTGTGTGTTATTGTAGTGACATGGACCCCAGATCTGCTGATCATGGCTCAACTTCAGTGGACCTGTTTGGGGTTGATCAATGAAGTGATTAAATCGATTAGAAAGTCAATGAGAGGACGAGGTCACGTAGCTTAATGAGACTTTTAGGCTTGGAGACTTTTAGGCTTTTAGGGTTTGGCTTAATGAGACTTTTAATGGTAATAAGGAACAAATTAAGTAAATGTAATTCTCTTAAACCGCCCAAGGTCAAGTGAGATGGTCAAGTTTGGATCCTGTGATATATTCTCAACTATATGTCAGAGAAGATACATTCACTATAATTATTAAAATTATTAATTATTATATCTGACGTGAACTGTGATTTGGAGATATGTTTCTGCCTTTGTATACTGCCTGTGTCTTTTTTGCCCGCATTTTATGTCTCCGATAGACAGCAGTTTCAGAAATTAAATAATGAGAGTATGGCTGATTGGCAGGAAAGACGATGTAACAAAAGCTAAATATATTCACAATTAGAACCAACTGAAACCAAAGCAAATTCTGAAACACTAATTTAAATATTATTAGTGTCGGAAGTCTAAGTTAAAATAAAACTTTTGTGATCAATAGTTACAAAGCAAATTCAGTACACTATGAGGTATGGAACCTCTACCACCACACAACAGTAACTTGTAAGTTTAAGACGATATTCTTAACCCTGATTGTGGTAGTACTAGGCAAGGTTGACCTATTCTTACTTGATTGTAACGTGTGTGTGTGTGTGTGTGTAGAGGGAATGGGTTTACTAACAGTCTGGAGGTCACATTCCGTATTAGATGAGGTAATTCTTGCCTGATGACCCCCAGAGGTCCAAGGTCTTCACCATTCCACTATTATTCCCAGCGCATACACCGTATGCCTGCTGTCTGCCGTCTGCCTGCTGTCTCCCGTCTCCTGTCTGCCGCCTGTGTTCAAGTACATAACATATCACCACATGTGTGTGCGTTTCTCTGCTTCATATGTTCACTATTCTGTTTTGTTCTCTCCTCATATGTCCCTTTTTTCCCTTCTTCCCTCACAGCACCTCACACCTCCCATCACGCCACCGTGCTCTCTCCTCATACCTCATTTCCCTCACCTACGCACAATTGCTCCGTGCAGCACCTCGGCACTCCTCACTGAGTGATTTACTCTTAATTGCAGTCTTATCTTGCAGAGACGCTGGGAGAGGAGGATGGGAGAGGAGGATGGGAGAGGAGGATGGGAGAGGAGGAGGAGCATGGAAGAGGAGAGGGAAGGAGCATGCCATAATGTTTCCATCATGATATAGCAATCATGATGGCGCTCCTGGTCTTTTGTTGTTTTAAACTGCGTTATATTTTTATCTCCTTTTCCACGCCTCTTTCACCTATCTTCCTGCTCCTCCTCCCCCTTTCCCATCCCTTCTCTTCTCCCTTCCACACTCCCCTATCATCCTCCTTTTCTCTCATTTCCTGCTGTTTCTCCATCTCTCCTCTATCTCCTGCTCCCTCCTACATGCTTCTCCTTCGCTTCTCATTTCCACATTCGTCAAGGCAGTTCTCGGCCTGTTTTCTTATTCCTCGTTTATATATAATATCCGTTTTTGACATTTTTTTTGTTTTGCTTGTGATTACTTGTATTAAGACGGGCGTAAGACACTTCTCTAATTGTATTATCCGTGAAAGCTGATTGGTGGAGAGCCTCAGCACCTTGGGAATGGTTGTCCGGGGCCATGTGTATCTTATCAGTCAATGGCCAAGAACGATCCTTGGATGTGATTGGTTGGCGGGATAAACACGTCGTCGTTAAATGAACAAATCCACAAGGGCCGTGACGAGGATTCGGATTAAGGCAGGGTTCTGGGATGCTCTCGGACTCAGGTTCGAATCCTCGTCACGGCCCTTGTGGATTTGTTCATTTGATGCATCACGCAATTGTGATTTCTGTGTGTAACTTCGTCGTTAATTGGTTGATCCGATGTTATAAAGCCCAGGATATAACGTTATCAAAATCATATATAAATTGCTATATGCCTCTTACTCGAGACGTTGTATGAGTAAGGAAAGGAAATACTCACCTATTTGTGCCTGCAGGATTGAGCTCTACCTCTTGGACCACGATTTTATCGCCGGTGGTTGTCTATTGATGAGGAGGAATACAGCCATATACAGCCATAACTGTATATGGTATGCAGCCATAACTGTATATGGCTGTATAGCTCGTGGGAGGGATAACAGGAAAGAATAGGAAGGAAGGAACTGTGCCCATCCGCTTTTTGACTATCGGGGGATCGAACGCCGACCTGCAAGAAACGAGGTCGTCGGTGTACCTACCAGAATGGGAATTATGAAATTGTATTTTTATTACAGTTTAATATTTTTTGAACTGCATTGTCTAGTTTTTTTTAATCATAAATTTCTGATAGTTGTCTCTTGAGAAGTTGTTTCTCGCAATATTGAACACTTTGGACAATATTGTTCCACTTTCCTTAAACTTTGGGGAAGTAATCGTCTGTGATTGTGTATTTTCTGCTGTGGTATTTTCACCAAAACAAACTCCACCTTACCATGACACTAAACCATGACGGGCCGCGGGGACACTAAAGCCCCAAAATCATCTCAAGATAACCTCAAGATAACCATAGCGTCTAACGTAATGTTTACCATTCAACACAGTCTTCCCAGCTTGGCGCCTTATTCTGACAAGCACTTCATCACATGGAAGTAATATATATATATATATATAATTAATTAACTTTCGGCTCTCTATTTTACCCTCGCATGAGATTCGAACCCCCACGTGCCGGCGACTCTACACCCCCAAGGAAAGTACCTCTCGAGGTAGAGAACATCCGTAAACACATTAACGCTTTGATTCCAGCATCTTTCAACTTCCTGAGAGTCAAGCGAGGTCATCTAAGAGAAAGGCTTAGAGCCCCATATCTGAAAACAACCACTAATATCGAGGGAGATTCGAACCCGAGGCCCGGCGACTTCCAGATGATTAATTATTACCTGTCAACTATTTGAAACTTGGCTCCAGTGATAATTGCTTTGTGTGAAATCAATCAATTTTTAATTCGGGAGATTATGAGGCTGGCGGTTCATTGTCACGTGATGAATGGGATGGTTCCTTACTTCACACTTAATTGGGAGAGTGTGTTAAGAGAGATTGGTTCATGAGGCAGACACACAGACAGACAGACAGACAGACAGACAGACAGACCTTACAAATAGGCTGTAGTTGAGTCCTTCGCC